GTGCCGATGACGACAGTCTAGCCATGATTATTTATGATGCTTGCTTGACACTAAGCAACAACCATCCACTCCCACGCCATCTCTGCGCATCAATCATCAATTTTCCACGCACTATACCCACCCAAAACCGTTTCCCCGCACGTCAAACGCATTGCTTGTACATGCAACGCCACATCAGGAAGGTCTTCAAGCCACACGTCCTGAGATATCCTGCAATTGCCGCCGCGGGCGTCGAAAGCTTAACTGAAGCTTGAGTCGAAGTGCCTGTCGATCTGCACGCTGGCTCGCGTCTTCCCGGTTGTGCTGACGCGATTATCTGCACCCCGCCCCAACTGACATAACTACCGGTCCTCGCAGCCCTCGCAATATACGACTACACGATATCCTCCCACGCGTGCAACCATGAGCAGCGTAACGCGCAGAGACGCCACGCGCAGCGGCGCAGACGAGGAAACGCCGCTTCTCGGCCGAAATGGACCAGCCGGCGGAAAATCGGACAGCAAGGGGACTATGCAGCGGCTCAAACGGCACATGAATGCCGATGTCAACAAGAACTGGGCAGATCTTGTTTTGCTGTATTGCTACATTGTTACTGGGCTGTTGGATAGCTCGGCTGTCTTCATATGGGGCTCTTTCGTGAGCATGCAGACGGGTGAGTAAGACGCGCCATCTCTTTTGGACCAGAAGCTTACTCAACATACAGGTAACACCGTGTATCTTGGCTTGGGCATTGTCGCACCTTCTGAAGGCATCCGTTGGATCAAGGCATTGACGTCCATTGTCGCATTCTGTGCTGGCTCGTTCTGCTTCGCGCGCTTTCATCGCTACTTCTCACCTGCCAAAAGATGGGTGCTCATCGTATCCTACACGTTTCAGATGCTACTCATTGCTGTTGCTGCATTGATCGCTACTGTCGGGAAAGACACCAAGGAAGGTCTTCATTGGCAGATGATTGTTCCGCTCGCTTCAGTCGCTTTCCAATCCAGTGGACAGGCAGTCACGTCACGCGCCCTGAAGTACAACGGTCTGACCAGTGTCGTGCTCACGAGCAACTACTGCGATCTCTTTTCTGACCCTCAGCTGTTCAAGATTTCGAACGTGGAGCGCAACAGGAGGATCGCTGCACCCGCTATGCTGCTGTTGGGAGCCTGCATCGGCGGATTGTACGCTCACAGCAGTGTAGGTCTTGCGGGTGCCTTGTGGACTGCTTGTGGACTGAAACTGTTGGCTGTCTTCGCGTGGGTCTTTTGGAAGTCGGAAGTCATCGTCGAAGAATAAATGTCGCTCCGACAAGAAAACCTGGTCGTCCTTTAGAGGTCTTCCGGTTGGCCTCAATCAGCCAAGCCCAACCATGGTACGACCGTCGCAAGAAAGCATACACTATATCATTCTATATCCTGCCCACAGCCGTCTCCGCAAATGACTCATCCATCTTTTGGACTTACATCTCGATAATTACCTCTGCCCGAAAACAACCCGTGTTTACGATACAAGATGAAGCCCAACAGACAGGGTATTTATGGCTTCGTCAAGAACCGCGATGTGCAGCCACTGCTCAAGTCGGAACTTCGAGGCCTTGCGAGCATCCGAGACCGCCTTGCTGAAGCCACGGTGGTAGCATTCGATATAGAAGGAGTCCACCAGCGTGGTTCAGAGGCGAGTGAGCTTGGAGTCGCGGTACTACGACCTAGTTCAAAGCCACTTCGCTTCTCCTCGTCTATGTATTGCTTCTGGAATCAAAACGATATCGAGGCATTTACCATTCGCATACGAGAACGACGATACGGGCCTATTGTTGGAACCATGGCCGACGAGACCAGGCAAACTGCCGGCGCAAGACTATACAAGTTCTTGTCCTCCATCCAAGGCGAACTTATATTTGTTGGTTTTGGCATGCAGAGGGAATTCAAATGGATTAGCGATGAATATCCGGCCATCGCAGCACTGTTCACTTCTTGGTGCGATGTACAAGAGCTTGTCGCTGATTCCTACAAGAGCATGACCGCCGAACCCGACAAATTACTTCCTCGATATCGTCAGCCCAGCCTAGATCGAGCCATGAAAGCTCTGAAAATAAGTGGATGGCGATCCAGGCATGAGAAACATGGGGCGGCTGCCGATGCCGTCAAATTCCTGGCCATTCTTTCCGCACTCTTTTCTGGAAGGGTTTTGCATGAACTCCCCGAACCGAGCATTTGCCGCTTATCACGTCTCCCACACAAGAAGTATGATGAATATAGTGGGAAACGAAATGCGCGTATTACCGCGTGGGATAGAAGTAAACTGCCTTTGCAAACACCAAACGGTTTAGCGGATTTCTGCGCTCCCCATCATGGGTTACTTGCTGTGGGTCTCGATGCAGTTGATGTAAACTTGGCAAGAGACAGAAAAAGCATATGGTGGGTATCGTTTCTAACACAAGACGCGCTCGACGAGTTCATTGCCAAAGTGCATGGGTCGCTTTACGAGGGAGTGAAACTGTTCGTTACACCAATGGCTCCACCAAACAAGTATCTAGCCGCCAAAAGGTCGAATGAAATGCCTTGGAAACAGCCGAGAACCTTCAGTAGGTACGATGGCGATGATCTGATAGCAGCTTTCGAGTAAGTCAAGGAATCTACATGGACTCGGGTACACTCGGACTAACTTTTATAGCATACTTAGCACCGTAGGTGAATGTGAAGAAGAGGTACGAAACCAGTAATACGCGCCTGTAATAGTGGCCTAAGCCCTAGAGTCACATGCTGTTACCGATGCGTTTGCTGCCTCGCGTACTGTCGCCGCAACTCGGACAAACGCTCATCTGGCTCCGCGATACCGACGCAAACAGCACTCCCGTTAGCTGCCTACAGCCTTTCGGTTCTGATACCGCTCCAACACACAAGCACAACACTCACCCGACCCTGCAATATTTACCGCGAAGGATGGCGCTCGAATCGCTGAAGAGATCCTTTGGGACTATGATGAGTATTAAGAAGAAGAAAGAGCCATTCGAAGATTCCATCATGACAACCGACTCTCCCGGTCAAAGCTTTGGCAGCCTAAGTTCGTGCGCCATGTCCATTGATAGCGAAGATGCTCCACAAGACAGCGGCGTCGACATCAACAGTCCACCAGTACCGCCTCCCAACACGCAGTCTGACCAGTATAATGACACCGACACTGTAAACCTACACATCAACCCCAACCCTATCGAGACCGAGACCCAGATATCCACCACCACCCCGACATTCACCGGCCTCTCTCCCGCCATCCGCGCACTAATCTGGTCTCACGCCGCTCCCGCCCCGCGAACCCGTTTCCTCGAACTCCACACCTACAACACCATCGACCACATCCCGCGTTGCCGCTACATACCCCCACTCCCACCGCTCTTCTCCACCAATCAAGAAGCCAGAAACTTCAGTATCGCACATGAAGGTGGAGAACTCGTTAGTTTCACTACGGAGAACTTTACCGCTTTGTTCTCTTTCCATGGCCGCAGGATCGGCGGAGAAAAAAATGAGAAGAAATTTTACTTCAACTTCGACAGGGATATCATCTGGTTGAGTGCGAGATTCACAGCTGCTTGCAATACCACTGAGACGCTTCGTCTGCAAACATTGTCTTCTATCCTGCCGCCAACTAGTTTGTCTCGTATCCAACGCCTCGTCATTTCGTACTCGGGTCTGGACTCTTACGCGTTCATCGGTCCTTACCTGCGTCCCTTTGCGCGTCTTGAGACGTTATTTTTGTGTATGAACGATGCGCGCATCAAGGAGAATGTGAAAAAGTTGCTCAAGAAAGGTTGCCCAGCTGATGGCGTGACGGCGGACAAACTGAGGAGCATGTTAGAGCAGACCGAAGCTGATGAGACGGATGATGATGAGGAAAGCGAGGATGTGACTACGGATAGGTTGGCGGTTAGAGCGAGGAGAAGGGTACTGGAAGTGTATCTGAGGCTAGAAGAATAGCGGCCGTATTGTGATTTTGATTTGGCTCCACAAGGGCATTGGATGATACCCAGTGGGTAGATTACGTAGCATGTGCTCATACAATCGATACCAGAGACTCATACAAGCAAAAAACCGAACAAGCCTGGGGCCTACATTGACGTTAGGTCACCTACTTTTTATGTTTTCAAATTGACGTAGGCTGCAGACCTGTTTAGATTTCCCTAGATTGAGGTGCTAAACGACGATATCACCCAAGCTTGGCGACTCGCCCATCCTCCGCTTCGACAACTCAAAGCTCAATACAGTATGATCCATGTAGTACATCATCAAGCGCCATCGGCGAGGCTGGAGCGAAAGCAAGCCCCGTTGACCCGGTACTTCGATATCCTCTGAAGGGTCAAACATGCCTGTATACCTGTGAGCCCTACGATACATACGGAAGTAGTCATCATCATCCTACCTTGTACAGGCGCAACAGCCACACCAAGCAGCCGTTCGTTCGGCCCTCCCGTTATCTCTGTCTCATTACCTGACCGAAACGGTAGAAGATATTCAAGTTTGAAGCCATACCGTGGCTCTCCAGTGTTCTGGTCTCTAGTATAGTACAGACTGAAGACGCCGGCACGACCCGCCGGAGAACCGACTATGAAAATGCCCAGCTCGGGTATCTGGGAGAAGAAGCAGTGTCGGTCACAAGACATGAGGGAGTCCATCCATCGGCCTGGACGTAGCGGTCGTCTTATCGCGACGATGGGATTGAGAGGAAAATTGAGTGATGTTGCGGAAAGGCCTTGGATGAGGAAGATGTCTTCTTTGGTGAAGATTAAGAATGGGCCACCCATTGGTTCTGCGATGGGCCTCAAGTCATCAATCAGGCGATACGGCGTTCTGTTAGGGCTGCGCAATGTTCCGGGTCGAATGGAAGACAACAGCGTTTCACTTATACCAAACTGCGCTGTGTGTTAGTCACCTAACGTGTCTTTAACTTTGAATATGAACGAAGAGGAGATTTGTTTCTCGTAATGCTGCACCTCATACAAGAAAAAAATTGAACAGGTCTAGAGCCTACATCGACGCTGGGTCACCTCTCTTGTAGGTTTTCATGTTGATGTAGGCTGCAGGCCTGTTTGGGTTTTTCTTGGTTGACGTGGCAATACCCTCTGGCTACATCTTGATTGGATGCAGCCGACAAGAGATTGTTTTATATGTCGTGTTGGAAAATATACTTACAGATTGAGCCAACTCCTCAAAAGTCATCCCGAGAAGCTGATGATTCGGATCAATATCTTCTTCGTCGCTGTCTGTCTCGTTCGCTTCGCTGACTACTTCGATTTCTTCGTCATCTGTACTGTCCTCTTCGTCTGTGTCGGGATGATATTGATGAGAGGTGGTTTCGGAAACTTTGAAACGTTTCTTCTGGTCGGACACATCTAGGAAGTCGCTTGCAGTCATGTCTTCGTCCAACGGTAACTCGTATGCGGATCGTGTGTCCAACGCTATAGTACCCCAGGCTCCGTGGAGAACATTTTGCGCGCCCGGACAGTCGCACAGGAACCTGTGAGATATGTAACGAGGCGGCTTCGAGAGATCGCTTGCGCTTGCGCACCAGCCTAGCTGGAATGTAGCCACCTCCTGCTTGGTGTACAAGTCCCACATCGATGTCTTGCCATCAATGCAGCTGCTCAAAAGCCAGCGACCGGAGTCACCGTAGAACGATACTGCGGGAACATTATTCGTCGCCTGAAGGGTAAAAATATTGTCCTTTCTTCTGCTGGGTGGGAAACCAAGATTGGTATCGTGGTCTGAGACTTCCAATCCGTTATCGGAAGCGAGCGCAAATGCGATTATCGTTATCTGATGAGTGTTCTGTTGAGGTTAGAGGAGCAGAGCGTGTGAGGAATAAACGTTTTCATTACCGCACTAATCGCGATCATGCGAGTCTTGCGCTGTACAGCCAAGCCCCAAGCACTTCTGCCGACATTGGAGCGAAGAAACACATGGACACCGTCCTCGTCAGCAGGCTCCTGCACGTTGGTGCGCCGTTCCAACGCTCGGTGGATCTCTCGAGTTCGATATATAATAACGTCGCCATCGTCGCAGGCCAGCATGAGCATCTCTTCGTTGCCGATATAGTCGACCAAGATGCGACAGATAGAGTGAGGATTTGACGGGTCAATTCCATACCCACGAGTGCCAGTTTTGGGCGGATGCAACACAAGCTCAGGCTTGTCAGATAAACTTTGGTCGGGAAAGCTTGGTTGATAGACATGAAGCTCATCGACAGAGGCAAGAAAATAAAGGTTATGTTGATGCGAAAGGCCCGTCAAGTCGCAACGCCAATCTCGCAAATCTGGCGGCGCGACACCATCGGCGAACTACTCCTGGTCAGCGGCAATCTTAGAAATTAGAATATCAATGGGTCGGCAGGTTCTGAACGGAAACTGTATGACTATGTTGCGCTAAGATCATGGTAGGCTCTCGCCATGCTCACAGCGACTCAGTAGCTCGTGGGCACGCATGCAACTCACCCGTTTTTCTCCGTGGTGATCACCCGTTGGTATACAGGCGATATGTGAGGACATGGTGAATACCGCATTCTTGCTCGGAAGGTGGTATTAATGATGCGAAGTTTGTGTCGGAGAGAGAGCTTGTGGTGGTTGGTTGTGACGTGAGCTAGCGCCATCCTACCAAGGTAGGTACGGCCCGCGGCTGGACGTGTACTACGTGCTAGTGCATTCACCACTGTACCTCATACAAGGGAAAAAACACCCTAGAGCCTACGTTGTCGTTGGGACACCTACTTTGCATATTTTTATCTCATTGTAGACTCTGGGGTGTTTAGTTTTCGCCTTGTATAAGTTGACTGCTCAAGTATAAGAAGAAGAAGCGGGCACGGAAAATAAGTCGGCCACGGAAAACGGGTTAAAATTAACACACAGTTCGTGGTAGGGACCAGCGGTTGAAAATAGGCCTCAATGCCACGAGACTTTCAGCCTGTTCGGTATTATAATCTTATAGCGCTATGAACGTCATAGTTATATATGTCTCTCGTCATGCTTTCTCGTCCCAAGACCACGGCCGATGCCAGACCACGTGCATAGATCTTTCATAGAACATCAACCCCGTTAGATCCAGTATCCGAACGCCGTCTAATGCTTTGCGGTGACCTTGTCACCAGTGAGCTTCTCAACAGCCTCCTTGGCACTAGAGATTCGTTAGCGGAGATTTGAAAAGCGGCATCGTCAAAACTTACACATCGCCCAGAGCAACCATGCAGACCGTCTGCCAAACGCCAAGACCGATTCTAGGAGTAACGCCACGGTAAAGACCCTTGATACCGTTGTTCGAGTAGATGTACTTGAACGCAGATGCAACATTCAGGTTCTTGGGGCGGTTGGGGTCAACAGTCTTGGACTGAAGCTCCACGCGGATAACCTCAATAGGCTGGTTCCATGCGCTCAAACCACCACCGAGAGCTGAAGCGGTGATCTTCTCAATCACGCTGAGCTTCTCGCCGTGCTGCTTGTCCATAACCTTGCGAATACCGGTTTCCGCAACACGAGACAGACCGAAGCGGGATCCCCAGTTGGTGACCTGGCGCACCGCGACGGCGTTGACACCACGGTTGATACCACGGAGACCCTCCGCGCGCCAGATGCCCATGAATGTCTCGAGCGTACCCGGAGGCTTCGCGCCGGTGGCTGCGACCTTGTGCTTTGTAATCTCGACCGTCTTCATGCACGTGCAGAATCCCATGGTGGCATAGGCTTGAGCAAGACCACCCGTCATACCACCAGAGATACCGGCGAGAAAGTCGGGGGCGCCGAATGACTTGGCGTAGTATTCGGCTTCGGAAGCGACGAAGAGAAGGACGGCTCCTTTGGTGGAGGCTTCGATCCAGGCCCATGGAATGAGACCCTGGTAGACTGTACGATGGTTAATGGGGTTGTCTGGAAACTGTAGAATGCATACTGACATCCAAGAACACCTCCACGCGCCCAGATGCGACCAATGGCTCCCGAGAAGCCTTCAGACCTGTTGGCAGCCATGGTAGTCTTGACGACCTCCAACGGCTATCATCGGTCGTTAGTGTGCTTCCGGCGAAGTCGGTTGCCTGAAATTGCATACCTGTCCCAGAGTTGTCACTCTGTCATCTTCAGTCAGCTTCAATTGCTATCTTGGTGGTGAAGTGGGATGTTTACTTACTCAAACATGTTGAGACCAGCACCAACTGCGCCTACAGTCAGCACACACTCCCGCTCTCTACCAGCACGCAAACTCACGCAACAGATTGCTAAACTTGACCGGCTTCTTCTCGAGCGATGGCGGGCCGTTCCTCGCCATGCTGGGGACGCCCGTCGCAGGTGTGGAGCTCATTCTCTGGGATTCTCTTGTCGAAGATATGCGGCCTGACCAAGGCAAAAGGGTGCTCCGTCGCAAATGTGAGTAGTATCAAGTGTGTGAGCAAAGCGAGGAAAGGGATGCATAGAAAAACGGTATAAGCTTGCGAGGTGGTCTGTGTTGCTGGTTGACCGCCGTCCGGGCGCGCTATAATTGGGGTTGTCCCTGAGGCTATCGGCCACTTGGCGGAAGGGCCATGTCCCGCAGCTGCTTCCCATCCGCGGCCATGTACCGGGCGAGGGGTCTAGCATTGCTTTTGCCTCCAAGTACTCTCCGAAACTCACTTTCTCTATTACAAGTATGCTCATGTTTGCTTTTGCAATTCCATGTACAACTATGTAGGACACCGCCTGCACAGCGAATTGTTGGGTCGGATTGGCGTCGGGTCGCACTGGAGAGCTCAACGATCCGCATCGGTTCCCCATCGCTCAACGAAAGCTACCCACGCTCCGAATATCCCGGTTACTTATCTCACCGTTCGTTGCTTTTTGCACCGATGCGATTGGGCGAATCTCATACACCTGAAAATGGCCCGAAGGCACCCACGACAGTCTTCATCGCAACGGACACATAGTATGAACTTCATGGAGCGTAGATTTCTGATCATCAAGACGTGAGAATACAGCAATTCGTTCACTAAAATGTAGTGATGTAGCGCCGTAACGCTCCCATTCCCTATCCTTACATTGCAATTCTACACAGGACAAGGTATCTCTGAATGTTAAACAAATTCCTCCACATTCTCCTGGCCGTAGAGCACGTTGCAGTAACGCGCTTACAACTTAGCACCAACCAACTTGGCGTAAGCCTCAGTGCTGAAAGACTTGGGCCTCTCAATGGGGGCACCGACGGCACGGTCAATGATGAGCTGGGGAAGGACACCGAGCGCACGGGATACACCGAAGAGGACGGTGTAGTAGTTCTGCTCAGTGAGGCCGTAGTACTGGAGGAGGACACCGGAGTGGGCGTCGACGTTGGGGTAGGGGTTCTTGGTCTTGCCGTGCTCAGTGAGAACACCGGGGGCAATCTTGTAGACCTGGCTGACGAGCTTGAACATTGGGTCGTCGGGAAGGTGCTTCTGGGCGAACTCGCGCTGGGAGACGTAGCGGGGGTCGGTCTTGCGGAGGACGGCGTGGCCGTAACCGGGAACGACTTGGCCAGCCTTGAGGGTGGACCACAGGTAGTCCTTGATGGCCTGGTCGCTGAGGTCGTTGCCGATAGCCTTCTTCATCTTCTGGAGCCAGACAAGGACTTCCTGGTTGGCCAGTCCGTGGAGAGGACCAGCAAGACCGTTCAGACCAGCAGCCAGGGACAGGTAGGGAGAGCTGAGAGCGGAACCAACCAAGTGGGTGGTGTGGGCGCTGACGTTTCCACCCTCGTGGTCGGTGTGGATGGTGAGGTACAGGCGCATCAGCTCAACGAAGTCCTTGTTCTCGGAGAAACCGAGCTGGTTGGCCAAGTTGAAGGAGTAGTCCTTGTCCTTCTGGATGGGAGCAACCTTGCCGTCCTTGTAGATGTTGCGGTAGATCTTGGCGGCGAGGGTGGGGAGCTTCGCGATGAGGTCCATGGCGTCCTCAAAGGTGTGCTCCCAGTACTGCGACTTGTGCATGCCCTTGGCGTAGGCCTTGGCGAAGTTGGACTCGTGCTCGAGAGCAGTGACGGCGAGCGAGAACTGGGCCATGGGGTGGAGATCGCTGGGGCAGCGGTCGATGAGCTCCTCGACGAACTTGGGGACATCGGAGCGGGCAGCCCACTCGGCGGAGAGGTCGCGGACCTGCTGCTCGGAGGGGACCTCGCCGGTGAGGAGGAGCCAGAAGAGACCTTCGGGGAGAGGCTCCTGGCCACCGGGGGCCTTGGGGAGGAGCTCCTGGCATTCGGGGATGGTCTTGCCGCGGAAACGGATACCCTCCTCTGAGTCGAGGACGGATCCCTCCCAGACGAGCGACTTGATGCCACGGGCACCACCGTAGACCTGGTCGAGAGTGACCTCGCCGACAACAGTGTTGCCGTGCTCCCTGGGATATGATGTCAGCGGTGCACTGGGGTGGGCGCGGGGCCGGCAGCACGTACTTGCGGAGCTTCTTGATCTTCTCGATCTCGCCGGGCAGCTTATTGGCGAAGGTCTCCTTCAGCGACTGCAATTGGCCTGGTTAGCGCGTGCCTTGGCCTCTCGAGAGATAAGTGGCATACCTGAGTCTTGCCGGTGGAGTAGCAGCGGAGGCCATTGAAGGCTGTGGTCCGCAGAGGGGCGGCGGCGCGGAGAGCGCTCGACAGTCTTAGAGCAGAAGCCATGGTAGTGATGTGTGAGGAAGGACAAGAGGGCGGGCGGATGGGGGGGAGTTAAAAGGCTTCGATCGGGACGATGCGAGAAAATATCGGTGGAGCTCGCACGGTCGTCATGGTCGCGCAACCTTGCAGCGAAAGGAATGCTACCCGCGCGGGCAACGTTCGGAAGTCCCTCAGTTCCGGTGCTGTGGAGGGCCAATGGAGTGGAGTGAAGCGTAGTCTCGCACGAGGCTTCTATCCGGCAGAAAGAACAATTCGTGATGCCGGCATGTTCATGTTCATGTTCATGTTCAATTTCACTTCTTCGCAGACAGGCACGCAGCCGCTACTGCCGGTTTCCGAGCATACAGGCCATAGTATGGAGTGCTAAGCTTGGGACGTGTAACAGGTCATGCAATCGCCTCGGCACAGTCTTGGTGCTTGCTGGAGCGGGTATATAATAATACGTCAAAACGGCGGTGCTCGTATGCAAGGCACAGTCTCTGCTGTGGGCCACGCAGCTCTGAGGCCACATGTACAGAAAAGCTGAGCGATCGCTGGGTCAACAAATGCAGGGCTCCAGATGCTGCAAGCGTCGGGCCAGCCAGCCTCAAGCTGCCAGTCCTTGCCAGTCCGGGCTGGGGTGGATCGTCTCCATCATGTCGTCACGTGTCGGCTGCTAGCGCTGTTTTCTCAAACTCGGCACCAAGCACGCACCCAGCCATCCCTCTCTCTGTCTGGACTCATCACACGGGTCTTACTCACCTGCCGCTGCGCCCTTGACGTAGACCAGCCCCGACTCTGGCGACCTATTCCACTGCTTCTTTGAACTCTGGCTCGCTGCGACTCTCGCACTTCGTAGTGAAGAAGACGCCTCGCGCATTCCAATCTCAGCGCGCCGTCGCATCCTAGATTGAATCGCACCACAGCTCGCTCCCTACACACCTCACCACACACGTCAGCGCAATCCCCACACTGCGCATTGCATCTCGCGCGCAGCTCGCTCAACTGCACCTTTCTTCTACAGTCATCGTACTACCTAGATCTGCCCGCTTCGGCTGTTTCTGGCGAGCTCGAGTAAAGTGCTTGCGCGTTTGCCATCTCGCTTCTCTCACCTCGCGCTCCACCCATAGCGCGCTGTTACCGACACTTCTTTTCCTTTCGCATCAAGTTTGACCTGGTCCGTTGAACCTAATCATGGCAGCCATGGAAGAACTAGGCACGCAATTGCAGTCGTTACAGGCCCTCAAGCCGCCGGGAGTCACGCCCACCAAGATCAAGGCTATCACGCAGCTGTGCGTCGACAACATTCAGGTATGCCAGTCGCCAGGACCTCCTACACATCTTCCGTGCACATGGAACCTCGTACTAAGTATCTGCCTTCACTTATAGTCTCACTCCGTAATCGTCCAAAAGATCGCCCAACAGCTCCAGAACAGCGTCGCCACACACAAGCTCGGAGTACTATACGTCGTAGATGCAGTCGCCCGCCAATGGGTTGAGAGGGCTAAGCAGGCTGGCCAGACTGTGTCAAAGAACGCGGCGCAAGGAACCTATGCTTCGGGTGTGCAGATGATGCGAGACGTGCTTCCGGCCATGATGCACAATTTGATTCAATCAGCACCAGAGACACAAAAAGAGAAAATCTCCAAACTCCTAGACATTTGGGAGCGCGGTCAGACCTTTCCACAGGACATGCTCGCCGGCTTCAAGCAGCAGCTGAAGGGAGGCCAAAACAGTAGGTCAACTTTCGTCTTCCAGGCGTCATCTAGCTAACCCGTAGTCAACGTAGATGCATCAGCACCTCCAGAGCCACCTAAGAGTAACGGCACAGTACCAGTATTCAACGGGCACACTAACCAGCAGCGAACACCCCCTGTAGCTCTGCCACAACCTCCACAAGACCCGGGTGCTCTTTACGCTGCGCTCGCTGGCGTCGGTCAGCAGAATGGGCAAACTAACCCTCCACCTGCAGCAGCTTCTGCGTTTCCTTTTCAACAGAACATGGTACCGCCACCACCCCCTGGCTTCGTGCCTCCGCCACCTGCTGGGGCAATGGGGCAGCCTAACATGCCTGTTCCCCCCGCTGGTACGAATGAGATCGTGACTCAGATTCTAAAGGCTATGAGCGCTGGCTCCATCCAACCCGACCAAGCAATACAGGCACTGAATACGTTGGCTATGGCCCAGAATGGCGGAATGCCTATGCCACCAATGCAGCTCCCGGCTGTTGCGCAGACACCGCCACAGGTTCAGCCTGCTGCGCAGAACGGTAACCAGGGAGACAGATATGACCTGAACGACAGTAGAATGCGCGACCGTAGCAGATCGCCCGACTATCAACGTCGACGATCGCCCGTGCCTAGATCTCCACCAAACCCAAATCGGCGGGAAAGTCCGACATATGGTACTTACGACCCCAATGCAGGTCCCGAGGGCAATGCACAACGCTTTGAGCGAGGTGAGCGCGGTCGTGGTCGTGGTAAACAGAGGGGTGGTCGTAATGATCGTAATGAGTATCGCCAGCGGTCACCGCCGCGACGACAGCCGAGCCCGCCTAGGGCAGCGTATGGCCAGTCGAAGTATATCGAGTGGGATGAAACTTTGCCGCGCGATCACATCAGAGTCCTCAGCCGTACATTATTCGTAGGTGGTGCTGGCGGAACTGAAGGTGAGATCCGAAGCATATTCGCTCGTTTTGGTAGAGTCCAAACATGTATTGTCAACCAGGATAAGCGACACGCTTTCGTCAAGATGTTGACCCGTCCGGATGCCGTTGCCGCCAAGCAAGGTATGGACACCCTCCAGGATCCCGCTGCACAGTCCAAAGCGCGCCAGGTAAGATAGTCGTTCCTGATGCCTACTTTCCTTTGCTAACAGTACTAGACCCGATGGGGTGTCGGCTTTGGGCCCCGTGACTGCAGTGATTACACCACTGGCATTAGTGTAGTTCCCATCTCTCGTCTTACAGATGCTGATCGCAAGTGGGCTTTGACCGCTGAGCATGGTGGAACAGGTGGTCGCCCACTAGAGGGAGGTATGGTGATCGAGGAGCCGGACATCGAGATAGGTGCAGGTGTTTCCTCAAAGGGTATGTACATCCATCACTTGCTCATTACACGACTAACACAACCTAGCCATCAGCCGACGTGTACCAACTGACGTGCCTCGCGGAGGTCGTGGAGGCTTCGGCAACCGAGGTGACTTCAATGCACGTGGAGACCATGGCGGACGTGGTAACTTCAACCAACGGAATGACTTCAATGAGCGTGCAGACTTCGGCCGCAACGAGTTCGCTGGTAACGGTGGTCGCGGTGGTTTTGACAACAATGGCCCGGCCAAGTTCCGCAAGCAAGATCATCGTCCCGTCAACGACCCACGTCACATCTCGCCTCGACCTGAACAAGGTGTTGCCGTCCCGCCTGCCGTCCCTGGCTTCGGATTCCAGCTCCCAGGTTTCTCATGACTCCCACAGGGGTAATTCGCCCTGATCTCAATTACTTTCCTGTACAGAACAGTTTTTGATCGACTAGTCTCGACATGGCAGGTTTCCAATGCTGGTCTTTCCGGATTTCATCCTTTACATATACGTTATAGTCTTTCCTGAAATGGTGGTAAGGCACAATCATGGTGGACAGTCTGCTTTATCTCGTCAAAAGCATTGCGAGGCGTTGTGGCTGCGAATGCAAGTCAATCGATCCAGCACTGGCATACGCCAGGCAACGACGGGCTTTCAAAGGTTTTCTAGTCTGTTTAGTCAGATGTACGATTACGGTGGTTCTCAATCACGCTTCGGCGGCATATCTTTAGTACTACTTAGCTGCACTACCTGATCTGGCCTCATAATGAAAATTAAGATTTTAAAGATTTTTTTGACCAAATACCATTTGAAGAATCAACGAACCTGATGAGCAGGGGGAACGTTGAGACAGGCGCTTCGACGATAGCTGCACTCCAGCCAGATCGCTGTAGGTGATGAAACAACAAAGGCGCACAGTGGATACCAGGGCGAATCTTCTATTATTTGTGGTAATACAACAATGTCTCTTCGGAATGATTTTGTGGCTACAGCGCTGATGCGATAGATCGGTTCAAGCCAAGAAACCGAGTCCTGGCAACGAACCGATCTATCGCATCAGCGCTGTACTCACAAAACCATCCCTTGTAAATAAATAGAACTTAACTATACAACACCACTAAGGTACCAAATCCGTACAAGAGACCTACAGCCTCACTGCCAGGGATGATCCTACTTCCTCTTCGTCGCACCGCCCTTCTTCTGACTCCCCGTCGCCTGAGCCTCCGCCTTCTCCTTCTGCACCTTCTCTAACTTCTCCTGATCAGGCACCTTCAAGCTCTTATCGCCGCCCGGATGAGCAGCCAACGGCTTGTTAGCATCCTTCTCCTCGACCTCTTCGTCATCGCCACCCTGTCCAAACTCGTTGACACGGTTGTAATCAACCTTGTACTTCCACGTCTGGAACAGGTAAACGAAGAAGATGACGTCGTCGCGGAGGGTGGCCAGACGATGCAGAGTGGGCATCTTGATGGTGAAAGCGAAGAGGTCGTCGATGAAGGTGTTGAGGAACTTGTATGTCATGGCGCGGCCGGGCATGTGGGCGACGGATTGGAGACGGTAGTTGATGTAGAGGGCGGGGACCATCATGAGGAAGCCGTAGGCGTAGACGGAACCGACGAGCGTGGTGATGATGAAGGAGTACCACGACTTGTGGGTTTCGTACATGAGCGAGTAAATGGCGTAGGCAATGAGTAGGGGCACGGCGACCATGTAGAGGTACCGGAATGCGACGGCGTCGTATTCTTCTGTCTTCTTTTCCGTGTCGGACAGGACGTGCTTGTCTTCGAATGCGATGGTGTAGGGGAGCAGGGAGCCAGGCATTGTTTGGCGGATGCGCACGTTGACCGACTTGGTGATCTTCCATGCTTCGATTGCCATGCCCATGCCCTGACCGAATAGGATCATGTAGGATGTATTCTCGTTGTTGTCGATGAGGTAGAGGAAGATGATGGCTTGCATGAACACGTTTGCGACGATGGTGCGGACCGAGGTTCCAATATTGTCCTTCTTCTTGCGCCAATGCTGGACATCGTTCTTGAAAGCGAGCATCTCGAAGACCATATGAAAAATGGAGACGACCGCGGTAATGGCGAGGAGGTATGAGTTGCTGTCGATAAGGATTTCCTTGAACATCTCCATCTCAGAGCCATCGCCACCTCCGGGGGTAGATTGACCTGCAGCTGCAGCCCTGGCGTTGGCGTTGAGGTTCTCGTCAACAGCCGCGAAGATATTGTACTTCCAGTGGGCGAGGTTGTTGAGCTTTACGTTGAGCGGAAGGGTTGTAACGGTATCGTTCAGCTCGATCATATGCTTCTTGAGCTGCCAGAAGGTGTTGGTGAATACGATGGGATAGTACCAGGTGTTCTGACCACTTGCATCTCGTGCGCCGGTAGCCTCGAGTGTGATGAAACGCCTGGGACCGGGGTGCATGGCGGCATACTGCAAAGTACCCGCGTCGGGGATCAGCGAGACGGTGAAGTTGGGATGGTAGTAGGAGGATACAATCTTTGGCGCATTCTTCTCCTCCTCGGTTTCCACCTCGGCTCTTTCTGGCATATCGCTCAGCAAGTTCCTCGTCTTCGCGATCTTCTTCTTGGGCTGGTATTGGGACAATGGACGGATGAAGTGGTAGGCCTTGCCGTTGTCGTAGCCGGGCTGCGTGGGATCGAGCACGCTGCCACTCTGCGCAACGTAGAAGTGAGCAAGCAGAGTAGCATTATGCTGCACTTCGCTTGGGACCTTGAACTCGGTATGGATTTCTCTGTTCTCCTTGTAGTCTCCAAACTTGAAGTTCTTCTCCTCAATCAACAGCGAGTCCTTAGGCATCGATTTGAGTGGGGGCATTGCGACGGACGAGGAGATGTACATGGCGATGTCCATCTCAGTGCCGGCAGGCCACATGGGCGCGACAGCATATGGGATGTGGCTGTACTGAGCACCAGGGTCAAGAGATTGTGGGCGCTGCTCCCATGCGGGAATCACGACATTGCCAGCTGGTTTGACGGCGGCGACGGAGCCAGTTTGCGCGGGATCGTTGACGGCGGGGGCGGGTTTGGCAGTCTGGGGCATGAAGTACTTCATGCCCCCCTGAATGAGCAGGAACAGGCCCACGCTTTGCACAATGGACTTGACGAGCTATCAGGGAGCCGTCAGCTATCATCTCGGAGCAGAGGGGTCTTGTTCGCGACTTACACTCTTGCCCTCCTCGGGCGGCGCGGCGGCTGCTTGTGCCTCTGGCATGATGGCAACGTGCGGAACCTAGATTCCGGCTTGAGCAGCTTGTTAGGTGGAGAAGGAAGATGAACTCGCGATGAAGTCTGAACACATAATCTGGAGACTTTCCGAGGAATTGGCGGTTCCGCCGAGGGCCCGTGCCTGTCCCGCGTCAGGGTCTAGCCACATGGGCCTCGAGTTCCCGGCCCAGGTGGCGGTGACCTCATGCACCTCACCGAAATGCATACCTTTTGGAGCTTACCCTTTACCAAGGGATTGCAGCAATGGGTCGACGGAAATGCGCAGAATGGTGCTGCCTAATATCACCTTGACGACCTCATAATGGGGCTACCGCTGCCTAAACCCCTCCTTCGTTGGAGATGCTCTTCTCAAGCTTCTGTCGCCGCCCCTCCTCAACACGTCAATAACTTTTGACAGCCCGCGTTCCGACTCTAGTTCCCTCGTTCCGAGCATCTCTATCAACCATCCGAACAACCATGGCGGAAAACAACGCAACAGCTAGCAATGGCTCTGCCAAGCAGCCCGTGGTTGCCGTATTGTATGTAGCGAGGACGCCAACCGATTGATGGAGCGAATGGCTAACTGTGATACAGCTGCGGCGCTTCCAGTGGCACATCGCCAGTCCACATGGAGGCAGCGAGGCAACTTGCGCATGCTCTCCACAAGGCCAACACCAAGGTCGTGTACGGCGGCGGCACTGTCGGCCTCATGGGCGAGGTAGCACGAACCCTCGTCTCGCTGTCGGGCCCCGACTCGGTCCACGGCATCATCCCCGGCGCCCTCACTCAACTCGAGCAGCACAACGACCTTGCCAACCCTAACGGCCACTCTATCGACGCAGACAAATATGGACGCACTACTGTTGTCAAGGACATGCACACTCGAAAGCAGATGATGGCTCAGGAAGTTGTCAAGGGTGGGCCAGGCGGCGGCTTCGTTGCTCTACCTGGTGGCTACGGAACATTTGAGGAACTGATGGAGATTACCACCTGGAACCAGCTAGGCATCCACGACATGCCTGTCATCGTGTACAACGTGGACGGCTATTGGAGTGGTCTCATTGAGTGGGTCAAGAACGCTGTGACCAGCGGTTTCGTTGCGCCTACCAATGCTGGCATCATCTCTGAGGCTCTTAGCGCCGACGAAGTGATAACACATCTGAAGGAGTATCAGAGTGCGCCTGGACGCTTCAACTTGACCTGGGAGGAGCAGTAAAGGGTATGTGGTTCAAGGTTGCGGAAAGGCTCGATAACTCCACTCTTCAACCCCAAAAAATGGTTCAAGGCACGTTGGTGCTAGATGATTAGACAGAATCTCACAGGTGGACTCTGTGTTAGTAAACACATTCATGTAGATTAATTAGACTAGACTACAAATCAAAAGGTCAAAGAATCGTTCCCGTACTGAGCAAGTGAGCGTATCCGAACACTCTGGCCGCATATGGTGATCTCACCCGACAATCCCTACAAGCTGACGACATGTTCTGCAAAAGCTTTGCCGGCCCGAGCAACTGATCTTCGGCAATAAACATCGCGGAGCGAGGCTGGTGAGATTACATGCTTTAAAGAGCATGGTACCGGTGCTGTACGGAATGCCTAAGCCCGTTGAGGCAGGAGCGAAACCATGTCCGACGCGCGAGCCCATTTCATTCGACAACCCCGCCAAAAGTCAAGATAGTGACCTCAACGCGCGTATAATGACAAGCTTTGACAAGCCTTTTCCAAGACTGCTTAAATACGCTAGGGTAAGTTGCTCTCACACTCTTCTCACTGCTCTTGCGCCATTTGTCTGCAGCTCTCAGCATGTTTACCAAGTCGGTAGTCACGCCTTTGTTGGCGCTTTCAAGCCTCGCCCTACAGGCTGCTGCTGTCTCTCAGAAGCAGTGGACTAAGAGGAGCGACCACTTGTACTTGCCGAAAGAGACTAGCGACTACAAGACCGCGACTGCTCCGAACAATGTCACTATTCGGTACAAGAACCCTGGTATCTGCGAGACTACTCCCGGCGTGGACAGCTACTCTGGATATGTCGATTTGACGCCTGATGTGTGTATCAAACTCACCCATACATACAAGCGCTCTTTCTAATGCGATATAGGTCCACGTGTTCTTCTGGTTCTTCGAATCTCGTAACGACCCAGCATCGGACCCGTTTACCTTGTGGTTGAACGGAGGTCCGGGATCTGACTCGCTGATCGGTTTATTCGAAGAGAACGGACCTTGCATGATCGATGACAACCTCACTGCGGTGTACAACCCGTACAGCTGGAACAATGTCTCGAACATGCTGTACATCTCGCAACCTGTCGGAACTGGTTTCAGCTACCAGAAGCAAGGTGTCGGAAGCTTCAATTCGTTCTCCGAAGACTTCCACTACAACTCTAGCGAATGGCCCGCTACTGGTCGATGGCCTCTGCTCGAACCGCTGAACACTGGTACTATTGATACTACGGATCTTGCCGCTGTTGCTGTGTGGGTGAGTAGAAATCTGTCATTGAATGCGTTTGACCTGCGCTAATCACGTTCGATGCATCCAGCACGTTTTCCAAGCCCTCCTGGCCACCATCCCCAAGTTTGATGCCAAGCTTGGAGATCTGGATGCTGCGAGAGACTTCAACCTCTTCACTGAGTCGTACGGTGGTCACTATGGCCCAGCATTCTTCAGCTACTTCTACAACCAGAACCTGAAGATCGAGAACGGAAGCATGCCCGGATACCCACTCAACTTCAACTCGCTCGGCATAATCAACGGCATCATTGACGAGGCCATCCAAGCCGAGCATTACCCCGAGTTCGCTGTTAACAACACTTACGGCATCAAGGCGTATAACGACACCGTTTACTCGTACGCCAAGTTTGCGAACAACATGTACAACGGATGTCTCTACCAGATCGCCCTCTGCCGAGCCGCCGCCGAAGGCAACACCACCTACTACCACGCCGATGCAAAGATCACCGAAGCCGAGCTAACACCAGGCGAGATGCAGATCTGCAACGAAGCAGCAGACATGTGCCGTGACAACGTCGAATCTCCGTACTACTATTACTCAGGCCGCGGCGTCTACGATATCCGTCACACGTACGAGGACCCGACACCCCCCTCTAACTACGGCGATTACTTGAACCTTGCAGAAATCCAGGACGCCCTAGGCGTTACCCTCAACTACTCTGGTAGCAATGGCATCTACTATGCTTTCCAGAACACGGGAGACTTCATCTACCCCAACTTCAGGCTCGATCTGGAGTACTTGCTCAGCCAGGATGTGCGTGTTAGTTTGGCGTATGGCGATGCTGACTACATCTGTAAGTCGTTTACTACATACCGGTGATCAGACATCTCTAACATGTTCAGGCAACTGGTTTGGTGGTGAAGCTATCAGTCTTGCGATGGAGTACACTCACAGCGATGAGTTCCGTGCCGCAGGTTATGCGCCTATGATGGTCGATGGCATGGAATACGGCGAGGTACGCCAGTATGGCAACTTTAGCTTTGCGCGCGTCTACGAGGCCGGTCATGAGATTCCTTACTACCAGCGTAAGTTTTCTTGCTACCTCCATTCCAGACTGTCTGGTCAGATAATGGGCTTTGCTAACTAGACTTGTAGCTGTTGCCGCGTTGGCATACTTCAACCGTACTCTGTACCACTACGATATCGCGACTGGCGAGGAGAAGGTCACTGCCAACTTGACATCCTCTGGCCCTGCGAATGCAACGCACACGCAATCATTCGTGCCGATTACGTCGTCCATCATTCAGGCCTTCCCTTCGCCTATCTATCCTGCGACGACATCGGCGTACTAAGTCGTACTGTTTTTACCGAAGTCAATGTAGCCTTGGTCTCCAGTGCGTTAGGCATCATAAAACTGGTATACATGACTATCACGGATGAAAAGAAACTATGAATCAACTCTGCGTGATATGCATGAAGACTAGTGATGCGCTCATGGCTTATTCCCAGTATCAAAGAATTCATCATATCTTGCCCTTCTCCAGCTTAGCCCCTGCATCGAAGAACAGACTTTGCGAGAATCGCTCATCAACGCTGCCTACAGATCTCAGCCTTGAACTCCTCATCATCTTTCCGCCATCCGATCCCAGCATCCTCACTACCCGGTCCCTTCCAGAAGATGCTACCATCAGCATCATCGCGGATGGCCTCGATGATCCTATCCTGGTGGTCGTCCTGCATCGTCGCCAATAGCGCCAGCTGCACCAACGACAAGTGCCTCCGTACATCGTAATCCGGGTCGTTCTCGTCGGGCTTGAACGTGTTGAGATCGATGCCGAAGTCCCCTCGTAGAATGCTTTGGTATGTGCGTTCGATCATGGCGTCTGTCACGGGTGCGTTTTTGGGTGTATAGGTACCTAGAGCCTCCTTGGGGAACTTGTCGGTCTGACCTGGTGGTGTGATCTTCGCGATGTCGATGGTGGAGTTACGTGAGGTGTCAATGGGAGGAGGTCGCCTCGTCTCTTTGGGGGTATGAGCGATCGAGAGTGGAGATTTGTCGAGGTCAGGAATGGTTCTTATCACATCAAACGTGACCGATGGGATAGCTGATGAGGATTGGTCAGGAGCGGTTGGGGTTTCCTTCACATCAGACATGGTCGATGTGATAGCTGGTGAGGATTGGTCAGCAGGAGTGGGGTTTTCTTGCATGTCAGACATGGTCGTGGGATGGATAATGAGTTGTAGATCCTGACTGTAGTAAGTCATCAATGTGAGTTCCTGTGCCTGCTGATATGTAGTAAAGAAGTTTGCTGAAAACACAGAACATGATACACGTTTGTGCAAACGATGCGTGGAACAATTTGTCGAGGCCTCGCAATATTTAGGCATCGACGCCGAGTGTGGTTAGAGGCCTTTCGTAGCAAAATAAGTCACAGGGAATCGGAGCGGATAGACAAACAGAACTTCGATGTCAAGGTCGTCAAACAGCGTTTGCACCAGGATATGCCTGTACAGGCCTACATACGCCAGATGTGAACGCCAAACTCCATGCTAAATGTTGCAGATGCTTCGAGGGAACGTTTTCATTTCGACGTAGGGAGTGCGAACAGCTGAGGCTGCATATTGATCTTGCACAAGCGCGCAATACAGCCAGACAATTGCAGAAGGGTTTGTACGCCTTCAAGAATGCGCATATGGGTAAAGCCAATTTCCTGGTTGCTGTTAGCCTCTGTAAAAACCGCCCGTTGCGAAGCCTCACCTTAATGAATTCCAGTTTTGCGTGCTCACTCAGCGTGTCAATCGTCTTTGTAACTTTGAACATTGTGCTGATGATGTCGTGACACGAGTATCCCAGATCCCACAGCTCTTTCAGTGATGTCAGAGCATCGTCGATACGCTGCTCATGGCACGCCTTGATCATGGCTTGCACCTTGATGGGGTGCGGGCTGTCGACCACCCTAAAGACATTGTCGCCATTAACGAAGCCGAACCCAGCAAAAGTCGACTGCAGGTTGTTGATGGCTTGTCGCATATCTCCCTCCGCTGAGAATACCAGTGCCGCAATTCCATCGTCTGAGTATTTCACGTCCTCAGCTTCGCAGATCTGCATGACGCGGCGCACGACTTGCGCATCGGTAAGGCGGGCGTATCGGAGGATGGCGCACCTCGATTGTAGCGGCTCGATGATCTTGTTCGACTGGTTGCAAGCGAATGCAAATCGAGTTGTTGCACTGTATATCTCCATTGTCCTCCTCAGAGCCTGTTGTGCACCACTGGTCATGCTGTCCGCTTCGTCGAGGATGACTAGCTTCTGCCTGCCCGGAGGAAGTGTGACTTTCTTCTGCGCAAAGCCCTTTATCCTGTTGCGTACAACGTCTATACCACGTTCGTCCGAGGCGTTGAGTTCGAGGACAGCCTCTTTGTAGGCATCACCGAGGAGTTGGCGTGCGAGACAGAGGATGGACGTGGTTTTGCCGATACCAGGCATACCAGAGATGATCATATGGGGCATGTTGCCATCTTTGGCGATGATCTTGAGGCGCTCAATGGTTTCGGTATTGCCGACGACATCATCGAGGTAGACCGGACGGTATTTCTCTACCCTGGGACGATGTTAGTCGGAGTAAGCTGGCGAAGGCCACGAGCGGTGAATTACCATGGCAGCTCGTAGTTTGCACCACCGGCCGCATTAGGGTTGGGTTTGACGCCATTGCTGGCGGCGGCTTTGGAGGACTCGGCTTTTGACATTTTGGGCTGTGATGGTTGACTTGGAGGGGTGACGCGAAACACGCGATGCTCTGCAAACGCGCTTTCACGGGTCATCCGTCTTGGGACTAGTGCTCACGTGAGCCGGGCACGATCGACGCGCAGCCGCGGCAGCGAAATATTATGCCCTTGGCGCTAAAGATAGATTCGTCCGACGCGACGTCACCTGCGTAGCACGATAGATCAGATCGGGATTTTTTCTCCAGATCATACACTGGCGTCGGTACGGATCGAGGCTATGTTCTTGCACATATTGTCCTGCACGCCTGTACAACGCATAGTACAAAATGATCCTCTCGGGGGATCTTCAGTTGGCATGCCAGATGGGCTTTCAGGTACCGACCGATGCTGCAGGTCCTGAGGTTTCAGCCCCAAACGTCTTTTTCGAGAGGCGCAGCCATCGAGCATCGGGCGCCTGAAGAAACCACCCGATCGCTCCGCAGTCGCTAACATACGGGCTATTTGCATTGCTTTAGTAGCTTGCGACATGGCGACGGCGTCAAGACACTGGGATCCTGGTGGTTGACAGGGTGACGTATGCGGCTGACGGAAGCGGTCCGCAACCTACCACGTCCACGCATGTCAGCGAGCTGTTGTGTAGAAGCAGCCCCAGACGTTTGCTGAGGAAGTTGTGAATGCTGAATGTCGTTGCAATGTTGGCCTTGTCGGTGCAGCCTTGGAGCGCGAACAAGGCGCAGGCGGCGCACGGCGGCAAGGGATGCCAGCGTCGGCACCAAGCGCTTGGCTTTGCGATACAAACGAATCGTCTCGTAATCGAGGCAACGCCACGCCCTGCGGATCCCCCAGCAAGGCACACACAAGCCCCGTTGGCTGGCGACTTTAGGCCCGGAAATGGCGGCGGCTGCCCATGCTTGTTACGTGGGCAGGTGCACTAAAGGGCCACAGAATCCGTTACAGGTCCAGACTTGACCTCATCATACGCGTCGTCATCACAAGGCTCGAACGCCCCCTGCGCCGACTAAAGCCTCGCGCCTGCGCCTCTACTTCGCATCGACTGTATTCCTAGTCACAGCTCGTTTGTTTCTGCTTTGTCGCTATTATTCCCTTGTCATCCTCTACTCGCACTGTGCTTGGACAGCGCTCCGCTTTTTGCGACTTCAATTGCAATCTCAAACACAAGGCCATTGCCGCCCTCACCCAACTCCGACCACTCGTGCGTCAGGTTTTACCAAGCCACACCAGGGATCCTTTCACTTCCGTGGTATACATCGATCGCACATCCCTAGGATCCTCTTCTCAGAAACCACATCATGAAGTACTCGACGTTCTTGGCGGCGCAATTGGCGTCGTCGGCTGTAGCAGTGAGGCTTGCACCGCGAGAGGTAAGTGCCACTCTTGGCACCCCAGATTCACTGCGAAGCGAATCCTCCCGCAGCGCCTCGTGCGCATCACCAGAGCTTTGTCGAATGCGATGCTGACTTTTTCAGAACCCAAGAGTAGTGCGCCTGGATACCCAGCGCCGAAATGTCAACCCCGTCGCACACGACCAGCTACGGAGACGGCAAAACGTTGTCCAGCAGACGCTTGACAACCTCGAGACACTCTACTTCGCCAACGCCAGCTTAGGCACCCCCGAACAGAACTTCCGCCTCCACATCGATACCGGCAGCAGCGATCTCTGGGTCAACTCAGTGAACTCGAATCTGTGTAGCCAAGGGGGCAACCAGTGCGGCGAATCGGGCACATACAACGCGAACGACTCTTCGACATATAACTACGTCAACGGCGCATTCAACATTTCATACGTGGATGGGTCAGGCGCATCGGGAGACTACGCAACAGATAACTTCCGCCTCGGCGGCCAGACAGTAGAAGACCTGCAGTTCGGTATCGGCTACGTGTCGAGCTCACCGGAGGGTATCCTCGGAATTGGCTACACCATCAACGAAGTTGCCGTAGGACGCGCCGGATTAGAACCATACCCCAACTTGCCTCAAAAGCTAAAGGACGACGGTACTATCAACTCAAACGCATACTCGCTATGGCTGAACGACCTGGATGCGTCGACCGGAAGCATTCTCTTTGGAGGCGTAGACACCGACAAGTACTCGGGTGAACTACAGACGCTACCAATTATCCCAGAGCGTGGACAATATGCCGAATTCATCATCGCTCTAACTGGTATGGGGCAGAACGGCGAGAACGGTTCTATCTTCAACGATTCCAACGTACCGGTCCTGCTTGACTCAGGGTCCTCCTTGATGTATCTTCCCGATAATGTCGCGAGCGCTCTGTACCAGACCTTCGGCGCCCAGTACCGTCCTTCGCAGGGCGCAGCCACTGTCGACTGCGACCTTGCGAATCAGGAAGGCTCGCTTGAATTCAACTTCTCCGGTGTCACGATCTCTGTCCCACTCAACGAGCTTGTCATAGTTGCTGCCGTTAGTCGTGGACAGCCGGTGTGCATACTTGGCATTGGGCCCGCGGGCTCCTCTGTCGCCGTTCTCGGCGATACTTTCCTACGATCCGCATACGTTGTCTACGACCTTGAGAACAACGAAATTTCCCTTGCCCAGACAAATTTCAACGCCACCTCAGAGAACGTTCAGGAGATTCAAGAAGGCTCTGACGGCGTACCCAACGCTACAGGTGTTCCCAACGCAGTGTCTACTGCAGCTGTCGGCACTGGCGGACCCAGAATCGATGGTCCTAACATAACCGGCGGCGGTGGAATCATAACATCTACCGGCGCTGCCATGCCGGCCGCAACTGCAAACCCATGGGTTGGCGGTGCTGCGGTCGCTGGTGCGGGCATCCTCATGGGCTTCAACGGCTTCTGATGTGTGGACTACAATTTTCCTAATACCTGTCCAGCGTAATGACTTTTTCTATAATGCATACGTGCATCGTTGGCGTTATCAAGAGTGGCATGGATTACAACCTCTCGGTTAAGGGTTTTGCATATTCACCAACCTACCTGGAAGTAGGTCTGTTGCTTACATAGAAGCATAGCATTATCATGAATCTTTAACGTCTATTGCATCTCTCACAAAATCGCTTCTGGTTAGTGACGGTGAAAACCGATGTCGCGTTTGACTAGATGGTGACGACACCCGGGGCCTGACAGGACGCGTAGCGCCTGCCGCGTAATAGCTTCAACGCCTGGAATCACTAAGTCGCAAGTCGCGCATCATCACATGCATAAACACTTTTGACTGATTATGCCGCTATTCGGTATTTCCGCCAATAGCTGAAAATGTCTACGTACAACCGCCTTCATGCTGTAAGCTCCATACGCGTTCCCTTTCGGCTTCAACTCTTGCCGAGACTACACCCCGAAGAGGTCGTCACTTTGACGCTCGTCCTCCGCCTACTCATTCGCATCATCTCACTGCTTAGGTTAGAAATCTCGCCACTCTTCAATGTCAAAATGGTTGGTCGACTACGTACCTGGTTCCTCAGACACCTCCGTTTCCGAAATCCGATCTAGTTGATGTGGCTGATTCACCCGCGAATTTCTAGTAGGAGGTTCGAAATGCAACGGCTCTGATATTTAGTCAGTATCCGGACGTCGCTGTAGCTCCATGCCATCCCTCCCGAGCGTCTGATCTGTTGCGGAGGGGTCAGCGTCGGAGGCCTGTTATGATGAAGTAGCCGCTGGGGGAGGCTGTGTTGAGGGATCAGCGAGTTGTGTATGAGACGTACTTGCAACGTTGCTGTTTTGCTGTCCTTGTAACGTTCGTTGAGTCCACCGCTGTTGAGCGTAGGTGTAAAGTCGTACCAATGCGTTGCGTATCGTGTTCCATAGGCCGGGAAAGAATCTTGGCCTGTTGCAGTGGATTGTTGCGATACCGAGAACGAGGAAGACGAGGATTGAGGGAACGAATATCTCGTAGAACATCTTGTTGAGCATAGTTCCTTACCGTTAGAGTGGTGTGGGATTTGTCTCGCCATGGAGAGTCTGGAAGAGAGTGATTATAACAGTCTGATCGATTGCTTGATGAAAACTCTCCAATGTTTGCTTCAACGAAAGGGTGTTCTGGAGACTACGAAAACGCTTGAGGGGGATGTAAGATGAATGAACGAGCTGGACAATCGTAACATGAAGAACAATAGATGAGTAAGGAAAAATTTCCACAGATCTGATCATCATCCGCCCCTCTTCTCACACTGCATCATTCGTACCCTTACCATCGTACTTGTGCTGCTTGGCTTGTCGGAGTTGTACCACATCCTCATGGTCATTTACGTTGCCTCTCTTGTCTTTCTTGAGATACCTGCCAATGTATCCCGTCTCACCCCAAAGATGAAAAGGGTCGATCAAACCCTCAAGTACTCCTCGCTTATTCCTCTTCTTCTCTGCTCTAGCCGTCTCTAACTCTGCGTCGCTCATATCCCAGAACTGTGTCTTCTTGTCCCTCCCTTTGACCAGGCCCCAAAGATCGAATGGATCGAAGATGGTAATGATCCACGGCCTGTCATCACCCCAGCCTGGTCCTTTCCGTTCAGTCACGCCATCGCGAGCTAGGAACACGGAGTTTGATGGAGGTAGACGTTTACCAGGATGCCACAAGTTCAGTAAAGCGGTGTTGAGGAACATAATGACAGCCTCGAAGATCCAGAAGTAGATCTCGTTCTGATATATGGAGGACTCCCAACCGAGGATGTATTCCACGAGGCGATATATGCAGCGTATCGTAACGATACTCGCACTCACGTACATGACGTATAGTACGACGCGAAGATCTTGCTTGATTACTCCGGCTTTGTTGGCACGTCGATGGAACTGTGCAGCGAGGAGGCCAAATGCGCCAAAGAGTGCTGCCTGGAGACAGAGCGACGCAGTGACGAGATCGGAGCCGAGCTGCCGTTCTGCATCGGTAGAGCTGGAGTTGGCCATGCGCCATGCACCTTGTCCGATGAGGATCTCGCATACGCCGTCGAGGCCTATGAAGGTCGTTGCGACCCGACCGGGGTGAAGAGGGGCCAGGTAGGGTATATAGTAGAGTAACCTTGACAGGATGAAGTAGTTGATGAGCGCGTATACTGGCGGGCCAGACATGATGAGAACGGTCGAAGCTATGAGGTATGCTAGATTATCAGTGTCGTATGCGCCTGCGAGACGCACTGTGAAACCGCTGATCATCAGAAGAGCAGCCCACGGCAGGAGGATTGTTGTTCGCCATGACTTGTGCTTGCTGAGAGATATCAGTAGTGCGCAACTGCGACTATCGAGATGTTTACATTGTCTGCCACGCATGTAGCGCTCCGGAGATGGAGAAGAGGATGATGAAGACTACGGGTGCGGCTTTGTTTGGTGCATAGAACCAAATGCTGCCAGGTGAGTAGTCTCCCATTCCCATCTTGACAAAGATGAGTACGATGTCGCGGAGATAAACAGATTGATGAGTTAATTCGTGTAATTGACGAGACAAGCTGTCCGAAAGCCAGAGAGGCAAGGAGCCGTTGCTGCACACTGAGTGAGAAGGACAATATGCGTTCAGGCTTCAAATACGTCCAGATAGAATCGCTGGCATGCTTATCCTTCGACACATGGGCCGCGACAGGGGATTTATGAGATAAAGCGCACGACAACACGTCCAAATGGCGCAAACTCCAGGCCCCTCATGGAAAGGCCAATGCGATGAATGCGACGCTCAGCTGAGGCATTGCCATGACTTCGCAAGGCATAGCACAGGGCTGAATAGGCGCATTTACTCATCGGTACAAGGTGAAGCGAGATCGTACGGCTGTTGACCGGTGATGGGCAGAGGGTGGAAGGCTTGTGCAGCGACTGGTTCATGGAAAGATGCTCACACGTGATGTGGCGGAGGCCTTTGACGAGTCTTTACCGGATTTGGGTTAGTCCAAGCTAGCGGTGAAGCCGCCGAATGCGCAACGTACATCTCGCGACGGCATCATTACCCGCGCACTCAAGCAAACGACGTCTATCACATACTTCGCCGTTATACCGATAATCCCATCGTGCACGTTTCATGAGTGTGGCTGGACATGGTGCGCCAGCCCTGGGTGCCACAGAGGATGGTTCTAGGCAAACTCCAGCCGAACCTACGGTGATGGACGGGCTCTCGAGCTCTAAAGTGACGGGTATGCACCCCTGCAACTTCAACACCCCTATACTCATACTTCACAGTCGAGTACCATGACCCTTCGGGAGTCTTTTCATTGATACAAGAAGACTTGGCTGCGCGATTGCCCCTTCGTAACTTGCACTGGAAGGCTCCTACACGGCCACTACGGTCTATCGACTCCTTACATGTTGATCTCGTGCCAAGTAAAGAATCAGCACAGGCTGCAAGTGCGGCTTCGTCGACTTCAGCACCTGGCCAAGGTACGCCCAATAGGAACACGGATGAGATCTTCAGGCCGGTTAACAAAGAGAAAGAGAGACGACATCAGATCCCAGGACTGCGCCAAACACCTTATCTGAAGGTCTATCTGTTGAGATGCGACGATTCAGAGACTTACAAGGCGACTGCGCGCAAGCAAGTCCGCGAGTGGGTGAAGGAACACACCCCACCTTCTCAAAGCAGTACGGCGAACACGCAGGAAAATCATGATGCGTATGAATGGTTGATTCTACATGTCGTAGTGCCCGAGACGCCGGCAGCAAGCCAGCCTCGTGGATCCTCTAATACTACAACCGGTGAGAAGGAGAAGTCTGGAGCAGCATCTAGATGGACGCGCGGGACGACGACCTTGCTGGAAAAGCTTCGCGCCGACTTCAATGTCTCATCAAAATCGGCACCCGATCGGGTAGCTCAGATACGAGTACCAAAGGAGAGAGTTCCACAGCACATGCTTCCAGCTGCTGCACCTGCCGCCACCCCTGCTATTACTGAGAGTCCCCAGGAACAAGAGCGTGCTTGGGCTGATGTCATCGCTAAGTTCAAGGTATTGATCCTTCTTTCGTTTGACCTCCGGGTCAGCCAGTATGAAGAAGACATTCGCAAGAACGACGCTCAGCGCTCATTTCCTGGTTGGAACTTCAACACATTCTTCATCTTGAAGGAAGGGTTGGCAAGAGGCTTCGAGAGCGTAGGTCTTGTTGAAGATGCGCTACTTGGCTATGATGAGCTTTCCATCGGCCTGGACAGCGTCATACGTGATCAGTCGAGCGAAGACGCGCAAGGAAGCGTTTTGCTCAGCTATTCGGACGACATATATCAAACAGCAGCAGAGATTGCACAGCAGGATGGCAATGATGGATCAGGACCATCCATACACGATGATAGGCCGATCAACGCGCTGAAGAAAGACTATCGTGGTCTCATCCTCGCAAACAACATTTCGATCTTCGACTTCAGGCTTTACATCTTTGCTCGCCAGATGTTCTTGCTCTTGAGGCTTGGAAACTCAGTCTCGGCACGTTCCGACCTCGCAGCCAAGCTACAACCTCGACCGAATGCCGGCGTGATACAGCGCTCGGCTGATGACAGCACTATCGGTATGAAGTCGGGCGGCCAAGGGAACGACTCAGAGGATCTGTTCTCTCTCGCTGAACTCTGCTCGCGTGCACTGAACTTCATCACCTTTGCTGGGCGGCTCTTGCGAGATGATCTAATTCACGGGTAAGTCCATCTACACCCAGTCAAGCCACAGTACTAATTCATCGCTGTAGGGCGAAAGCTCACGATACCTTATTCCCTGATCATCTCGTCGAGAACATCGTTCGTTCGTGGACTTTCGCTGCGCTGGAACAGGTCTTGCGTGAAACATCTACAGGATCTCTTCCATTTACGAAGTCCTCTGGAAATCTATCGGCAGGCTCTTCCGGCAAGAGCCTTTCGTTTGGTGGCCGCAACAAAGAACAAAAGAT